GGCAAACTGGAACAGTTGGGCCTTAATACACCCCTCTGCAATTGGCTGCTAGACTTCCTCACCAATAGACCTCAGTCAGTACAGGTCGGACAGAACACCTCTGATGTCATCAGCCTAAGCACAGGCTCCCCTCAGGGCTGCGTCCTGAGCCCGCTGCTGTTCACCCTGATGACACATGACTGCGTCCCCAGGTTCACCACCAATCACATGGTGAATTTTGCAGACGACACCACGGTGGTGGGCCTTATCAGAGACGACAACGACCAGGATTACAGAGATGAGATGGAGCAGCTGGTGGGCTGGTGCAGAGATAACAGCCTGATCCTGAACGTGGAGAAGATGAAGGACATCATCATTGACTTTAGGAAGAACCGGCCTAACCACGCTCCACTGCTCATCAACAGCTCAGCTCTAGAGATGGTCAACAGCACCAAATTCCTGGGGATGCACATCACAGACACCATCTACTGGAATGTAAACGCCAACCCACTGGTCAAAAGGGCACAGAGGTGCCTGTACTTCCTGCAGAGGAGAGCTCACCTGCGCCCACCCATCCTCACCACCTTCTACAGAAGCACCATAGAGAGGGTTCTGATCAGCTGTCCCACTGTGTGGTGTGGAGGCTGCATAACCTCAGACTGGAAGAAGGTGAGAAGAGTAGTAAGAACAACAGATAAATATCTAGGCTCCTCTTCCCTATATAAAAGACATTTCATCCCAGCGCTGGGTGTCCCGAGCTCGTAACATCATAAATGACCTCTCACACCCCCACCATGGACTGTTCTCCCTGCTGCCCTCTGGGAAGAGGCTTCGAAGAATCCGCTCCAGGTCCAGTAGATTCCATAACAGATTCTTCCCCAGTGCCATTAGATCGCTGAATGTTGTGTAAAATGGGTTATTTTATTTATTTTTAAAAAATGTAATGTTAGAACTGTAAATATAGTCATATGTTTATATTACAATTGTTTTAATGTATTTATTACTGTTTACAAGGCAGAACTTTAAAAAATGAAATTGTCTAAAGAAATGTATTTTTGTTTACACTCGTGTATACAAAAATGAAAAAATAAATCTGTGTAAGTCTTAGGTAATTGACAAACAGAAGAATTATATTAACTGATTTGAATATTCATTTATGAATATAAAGTTTAAATTGTAGGATAATCATTTGGCTGAATTTGCTGCCTCACACAGACGACAGTTCTCTGTCTCAACTTGAAATGATCTACGGATTTATTTAGGATAAATATTAGTAGTAAATTTTTTCATAGTGGTTATTGGGATTAGTGTAATAAACCAGATTTTAACGTCTCAAATATAAATGTCTTTTAATATAACATAAATTAAGTATTCCATTAAGGCACTTTAAGATAAGTAGCGTTGTATGTTAAAAAAACATCCTCTAGACTAGAGTCTAGACACTTGTTAACAACCTAATCCTTTCCATATGATTCTTCACTGAATTGAATCGTCGCAGGATGATGACCTCACTACCCGATGACGTGTCGGTTTGTTTACAGCCCTGCAGCTGCTTAGACATGGCTGTGGATATAACATCACTGTTCAAAGCCAGCGTGAAGACAGTAAAGACAAGGAACAAAGCTATAGGAATAAGCGTGGACTCTGTCAAAGATGAGATTTTTAAGAAGAGCCGACCGAAGAGCGGCTTCTCGCTAAGAGCCAAAGAAGTGGTGAGTGTTCACAAAGCTAGCTTTAGCTTTAGCATCTGCTGTTCATCTAGGTGGAGCGAAGAACATGACCACTGTAATGAAACACGGTCCTGCAGCCTTGGTTAAAGCAGCTGTATGTGTCTAATAAGTGTAAGAAAATATGCGTATTTACTGTTAAGTTATTAATGCAGTTGGTGTCAGCTGTTTCCAATTAAGAGCCTCTACTACGTTTTTTCCCCCCACTGAAGTTATAACATGATTTAGAACCATCTCCGTTGTTTAAGGCAAACCTAAAATAAACCCCAAAGATATATCTCCGTTTTTATACTTTGGATAAAAAATAACAAGAAGTAAAATATCTTGGTTGAAAATGTTTAAACCACTCTAAAAGAGAAGTGGCGTTAGCAGATACTAATGTTCACTACAGTAATATATGGAGGACCAACTGTGCCGTATTTAAAGATAAATACAGAAATAAATAAATTCTCAATAAATAAATAAGCGTACAATTAATTGCCCCCAAAAATACAATAAACAAATAAATGTAGGTGGAAATTAAATTATACAGTGAGACATAAATGTATATATCTCTTTTAATTAGCTTCTTTAAATAATTACCTTATTTATCTATTGTCTGTTTTAATCTTCAACTGTATTTATTTATTTTAAGTATTTATCTTAAAATAAATAAATATTGCACATGCACATAATTATTGATGTGCATGTGATAATACTTTTGTAAGTATTTGTATTTTTTTTACCCATTTATTTCTTCAGTGCTATTTATTTCTGCCCATCGTTTTTACATTTCTGTATGCATTTCTGCCTCATTATGCAAATGAGAAAGGGGTGAGTCTTAGAGGGTCACCTTCTGCCCATTGGTTGGTTTGGTTGGTTTCAATTCATAAGAACATGAGTTCGGACTCGTGTCCTCACCAAGTGTGTTCTTGAGAAGAACCCAGGAAAGTCTGGACTCTGTGAGAACTGGAGCACGTAGCATAAATCTGGGTCAATTGGAACAGAAGCGTACTCGTGACGTCACCACACGCTCGGCTTGTCTGAAGCTGCTTTTCTCCTCCTGTTATTAATAGTCTCTAGATAAAAATAAATAATTTCTTTTTCATTTAGTGGGGGAATAATAATTAACACAGTCAGATAAACACAAATCAAATGAAGATTTTTGCCAAATAAAAAAAATAAAGCAACCCACCTTGTGAAGAAATTATACCAAAATTGTGAACAAGAAAAAAATGTGTAAACATTTTTAATTTAGGAGAAAAATCTTTTTCATCTGTCAATATGTTCTATCCAAAAATCCTGAAGTGGAAAAGTTTTAGTTTAATTTTGTAAGCAGTCTTCTTTAAAGAACTTTTCGCTATGTAATTATTAATCGATTAATCTGAAAAATAATTGATAGATTAATCCAATGGTTGGCCCAGATGCAGGTGTAAACACTGGATCTGAAATGCAAGCATAGGGAATTTCCTGTTGGCCTCGTGAAAATCACCATCTTCACCCCCTTCGGTGTGAACGCACCATTACAAATTTAAACAACTGTTCACATATGTTCAAATATGGCACAGCACTGGCACTGATTCGGATAGATAAAAGAGCCAGATAATAAAGTTAGTTCCTGTAAATTTTAATGGGGCAAAGTAGGATGAAGTTGGGAACTTAGAAGCCAGCTACTGCAGGGACAAACTGGTCTTTTGCTGCATGGTCTGTTTACTCTTAGAAGCTGCTTGAACACTGGGAACAGGAGTGGGATCTTGTAGGATCTTATGGTCTGATACAGTAATACCAATAGATACCAATAATTAGACTGGTTGGTAAATGGCCATTTATGTGTCAATTACTTCCATATTTAACTCATACTGGCTCTTTCTTTTCATTTAATTTTTTACAAGTTTTAATCAGCTGACAGAGGAGACCAAGGTCAGGCTAGCATAACACCCAAAGGCTTTTCCTTTGATACTCTGCTCCTGGAGCTCATATATATTTTGTTGTCCTTAAATAAGTCCTCTTTGAACAAGATGTTCTCCGGATGTTGTGCTATCTGATAAATCTCCATTCACTCACTAACAATTTTTTTTTATTTGAGCTTTGCTATTCTCTCTGATACATAAAACATAACAATCATTATAATGTTATCTATATATATTATTTTAAGAATGATACTACTTCTTCTTCCTCAAAAACTTCTTTTTTACAGACTTAAAAACTTTTAAAGACGAAGGAAAAAATATT